AAGCGATCCAGTGTTCATCTGAAGCTTCGGTGATAGAGGTTCTTCATTTAGCATGCTAGAGGCAGAATTTGAAAACTGTTTTGGCGTCTGATTCGTCTTAACTTCGTCGGATCACGACGAAACTTGGCGAGTGTTCTTAAGAGACCCTTAGCCACGTTTTTAAATCATTTTAGGTCATTCTGGGACTGTTGGCAATTATGCTCAGAATCAGGGCTTATTTGCCTACTATTACTTTCGTGGCCCACATGCATTTTGGTACCTGTGGACCTAAATCGCAAACTATTTTCTCCTTATGCACATCGAAGATAACAAGTGTCAAAAAATACTCTTCAACAGGCATAAGTTGTACCAATGCTACAAGCAATATATTCGGCTTCTATAGTATACCAAGCTACACAACCTTGTTTCTTGCTAGACCAAGAAGTACATCCACCTCCAAAGAGGAATACAGATCTTGAGGTTGATTTTCTATCATCTGAGTCTCCTGCAAAGTCTGCATCAGAGTACCCAGTAACCTCTAAGTTGTCAGCTTGAAAGCACAACTTGTCATTTTTAGTTTTCTAAATATACCTGAGTATCTTTTTTATGGCTTGCCAATGAGCCATCCCAGGATTACTTTGAAATCTACTTACAAGACTATATGCATCAATCAAATCAGGTCATGTACACAACATAACATAATTTATATATCCTACAGATTGAGCACATAAAATTCTTTCTATTTCAGCTTTATCATTATCATTTAATGAACACATTTTCTTCGATAATTTCAAGCCTTTACAAACGGGTGTATCTATGGGCTTACAATTTTTCATCTTAAATCTCTTTAAAATACTTTCTAGATAATTTTCTTGAGATAAATATAGAAGTCTCGAACTTCTATCTCTTGTTATTTTCATGCCCAATACATATGAGGCTTCTCCAATATCAGTCGTGTCAAAATGGGAACTTAGCCATGATTGCGTATGGTTAATCATGCCAATATCATTACCAGCTATCACAATATCATCTACATACAGTGATATTATAACAAAATTGCTCCCACTATTCCATACATACACACAATGGTCTAATCTATTGGCTGCATAACCAATTTCAGTGATTGCATTATGAAAAGTAATGTACCACTGCCTAGAAGACTGTTTTAGACCATACAAAGATTTCTTAAAGTGATATACTTTGTCTTCTTGGCCTTTAATTACATATCATTTTGGTTGTTTCATGTATATATCTTCTTTAATTCTCCAATTAACTGTTTTGACATCCATCTGAAATATTTATATATCATAGTATGCAACTAATGCTAGGATGATCCTAATAGATGAAAAATTTGCTACTGGAGAATAAGTCTTTACATAATCTATGCCCTCCCTTTGGGTAAATCCTTTTGTTACCAACTTAGGTTTATATTTATCAGTAGATCCATTTGCATTAAGCTTTTTCTTTATAACTCATTTGCAACCAATGACTTTTGTATCTTTAGGGAGGTCAATCAACTCCCAACCTTGATTTCTTTCAATAGAAGCAGGTTCATCACCCATGGTTTGAGTCCACTCAGCAGAGTCATGTGAGCTAATAGCTTCATTGTAGCTTTGAGGTTTATCTACTGAATCTTCACTTATTGAAGAATAATTATCTTCATTCATAAATACATAAAATTCTTCTAAAGTCATGGGTGGTGTCTAGCTGTTTTAGGCATATTTGGTTCACTTGATTCAATTGAATCATTCTCACAAAATGTATAGGGATACTGACAAATAGGGTATTGGAGACCCTTATCTTTATTAATTTCGTGTAAGTCAATATGCTTACTTAAAATATTTTCATCATCTATATTTTCTAAGAAATGAGCATCACGACTCTCTACTAAGGATCTAGTCTCATGGTTATAGAATCTATAGCCCTTAAAATTTCTAAATAACCTATAATGAACATTTTATAGTTTTACTTTGTAATTTATCCCTATTTTTGTGGTGGTATAAGTACATGTACCCAAGGACCCTAAACTTTCAAGATAATAAGGTCAGGTTTTCTACCTATTCATAATTCATATAAGGTCAAGTCTATCGATTTTATTAGAACACGATTAATAATATACATTGCAGTGTTGAAAGCCTGACCCCAAAAAATAGTTGATAAGTAAATGACTTATCATAGACCTAACTATGTTCATTAGAGTTTTATTTCTTCTTTTGGCTACACCATTTTGTTGTGGTGTATATGACATAGTTGTTTGGTGAATTATACTATGCTTTTTACAAATTTCATTAAATAAGGTGAAGCAATATTCACCTCCCCTATCTGTTCGCAGAGTTCTAATATGTCTACCTAGTTGATTTTCTACCTCAGCTTTATATTTTTAAAAAATTTATAAAGCATCTAATTTTTTTAATAATTAAGTATACATATCCATAGCGTGAATAATCATCTATAAATGTTATGAAATATTCCATACCTCTCTATTTTATTACATTTAATGAGCCACATATATCAAGAGTGAACAATATTAAGCAGGTCACTAAACCTTTTCCTTTTAGAGAAATGCTTCTTAATTAATTTACTAGAAATACATGGCTTGCATGTTTTGAACACAATTGCTCTTAAATTGGGGAGCAAGCCTCTTTTAACTATGTGATTCATTTTATCTTTATTTATATGTTCTAATCTTCAATGCCATAAATATGAATCATCCACACACAAAAGCATCAAAAGATGCATAAGAATAATTATAAAGATATGAATTTTCATAAATATTCAATCGATACAAATTGTCAACTTTAGTACCACATACCAATGCTCTAGAATGCTTCTCAATATTGACCTAAACCTTATTTCATAACCCTTGTCGTCTAGCCTAAGGATAAAAATCAAATTACGCATCATATTGAATGCATACAATGTATCAGTCAATAAGAGATTTGTTCTTCCTGATAAACACATCTTGAATGTATCACACCTAATACATTACAGTAAGTGTCATTTCCCATATAAATCCGTTGGTTATCGGCTGCAATCTCCTTCAACTCTGTGAATTCATCCTTGGTCCTCTAGACATGTCCAGTGGAGGTTGAGTCGATCCACCAATTTGTTAAGTCATAGTCGACAACTATTGATTTTAGGACTACGCAGATCAAATCTTTTCTTTTATTTTGATTATTTCAAGCATGATTATTATTCTTTTTTCTATTTTTGTTTTTCAACTTGGGACAATTAAACTTAATGTACCCAATTTCCTTACAATAAAAACAAGTCTTCTCAACCTTATTTTTTTTATTTTTAAAATTTCTCCCATTTCCCTTATACGTATTATTTTTCTGATTATTGCAAGGTTTCTTGGGGATCTGAGAAGATGAACTTTGTAGTCTTTTGATTTTTAAAATTCCTTCCATTTCCCTTGTACCTATTATTTTTCTGATTATTGCAAGGTTTCTTAGGGATCTGAGAAGATGAACTTTGGGCAAAGTAGAGCTCATTTGACTTTTGCTTCATTCTTCTATCAGCTTTAATACTGAGATGCATGTGAAGATTTAACATGGTTATCCCTTGTGCAACAATTTTCAATGCAATTACAACAGGCTCCCAAGATGGAGGGAGACTGTTAAGGACATTGGACACTTGCATGAGGTTGGGGACTAGATTGCTGGCTGCAACTAGGTCCTTTGCGAGCACTGTCATTTTATTGACATGCTCGGTCATTGAGTCCGATTATTTCATTATGCAAGAATTGTATTTTTCTAATAACAATTGTATATGAGTATCATAAGTGGTCCCATATTTTTCAGATAAGGCACCAATCATACTTTGAGCTGTGGTGTGATTCTCAAAGGCTCTAATTAAATTATATTCCATAAAACTTAAACATAGTAGTCTTAACTACTTTGTCATCTTTTAACCATTTTTCAAGTCGCCGTCTGGCTTAGCCATTGGCATTAGGCTATAAAACTGATGGTTCTGTATCTAGGATATAATCTACCATATCTTAGAATAGAATATATCCAATTTTTATTTTCCACATAGAAAAATTGGTTCCATTGAGTTTTTCAAGTTTTGATAGTTCTGACATGACTAACTTGGATGCCATTTTAAAATTTAGATAATACCTAAAGATTCAAATAATAATAATAATTGTATTTAAGAACAAGGTTGTCTGCTAGTCAAATCAATACGTTACCGACTTTGCATAGGCAGTGACTTCAATGAAGAATTCTCTCAAAAGGTTTATACTCACAGTGTAGGTTATGAGCCCACCACGCTTCTACAACCTCGCTCTGATACCAAACACCTCTATCTCTTCTTGTTTATCTAAATTCCTCTTTTTCTCTCTGTATATTTATTTTATATTTGGGAGGAGAGAGATGAAAAATGTGAAGAGAGAGAAGCGATGCAGGGAGAGAGTAAGAGAGATAACTTGGGGAGGCTAACTTTTAAAAAAAACATATCTTTTTAAGTTTGTTTGGCCTAAAAAAACATGTTTAAAGTAGCATAAGGTTTAAAAGAAATAAAATCTATAAATTTTATGCGCCAAGATATTTTTTAAAACCTTGGATCTGTTATGAAATGAAACCTAAAAATAGGAAGTATCAAGATATTTTCCCTAATATTAATTCAAGTTATTACGGTAATACTACTACGGTAAAGGTGTGAAGATTATTTTGGTCACAAAATAACCAAAATTGAAAAAAAAAAGGTGTGGACGAGGATTCTAAAAATTGAGATTTTTTTTCTAGATAGATAAAAATTAAGATATATTTGTGATAATTCATCAATAATTTTTGACATGAAGATCATGAATATGATTTTTTTAAAAATAAAAATAATAATTATATTAAGAAAACGTTTACACAGTTAGATACAAATGTCTTTAAATGGACTCCCAATTTGCAGCTATCTTTAAAATGGATGCTTTATACTTTTGAACCGCGTAATGTAGAATGCGGTCCAGCCCGCATGAAACAATTAACTCACTTCAGAAAAAAAAAAAAGAAAAACCTCTCTTTCCCTCGTAAGAGACGTCCTCCCTCGCTCTCGCTGGCTATTTCCTGTCTTCACTCCCTCTACCGAACCACTGGAACCCCACTTCTATACTCTCTCTCTCTAGAAAAGATTATGCAGAAAGCCCTCTCCCAGAAGTGCCTGCTCTTTCTCTCTCTAGAGCATCCCACGATACCGTGAACGCACCCTGCTACAATTTACAAAGGCTACAGGTATGCGACGGGCTTTTTTTTTGAGAGAGCATTAGATACATATCCGATTTCCTCATATGAACTCAAATCTGTGTTGCATTGTTTTCGCCTCCTGCCTTTAATATGTTTTCTCCTGTATATTTGGGCCATATTCTTGTGTCTTTTATTATGAGAGTTAGCAAAAATCCATCAAAAATTGCAGCAAAAACATTTTTTTCTTGCTTTACAAAGATATCATTTTTTTGCTGCTTTTTTTGTGTGTGCGTGATGGTCACTTGGTTAGGTTGTTTAGATGTAAGTTTTTTGGCATAAAGAATGGTAAGTATATTTGCCCCATAATTTCTTTTTGTCTTGCTTTACAATATGGTCCCAAAATCCTTTTGCTGCACTTTTTGTTATAAATGGTCAGGAACCTGGTTGCTTTGATGTAACTTTTTGCAGAAACATTATCTGTAACCCATGTTTTTTATGTATCTTTTTCCTGATTTTGTTATGGCTTCTGAGAATGGTTAGGAACACTATTGTTTTGATATAATTTTCAACGGAAACATTCTGAGTATGAATGGCCAGGAACCAGGTTCTTTAGAATTTAGTCATGTAATTATTTGCTGCATTTATTTTTCCTCTTTTTCCGCTCTGTTTATCGGTTGAACGGCTGTCTGCTGCTTTTTTTTTTTTAACTTATATTCTTCGTAGCTGAAAATTTTTTGGTGAATGATATGGATTTACTTTTACCTTCAGTGTTTCCTCTGATAATTTGTTCATTCGTTAATTTGAATTTGCTCTTTGCTTGTGTTCCGAAATTTTTTCTGCTAAAATGTTATTTTCAACTGAAATTGTATCTCTTGAGTTTTTTTTTTTAATTGTTTTCTTTTTATGCCCGAATGGATCTTGGAATGGTCACTGAATGCCGATAGTAGTTTATGGATCTTGTAATAATGATGAACTTTTTATGCTAAAATTGAAAATTTTTTCTGTGATCTATTCCACCATTTTGTTAGATTAGACTAACTGTGGATGAGCTATGGCATTGAAATCTCATTCTTTTAGCAATTATTATCCTCTCATCAATGGAAACTGCAATGAACAATTAAAACTTATTGATTCTAGGTTTGCAAATTCCCAGGTTGAACTAAACAATGTTGTAGAAATTTCCAAATAGCTTGCCAAACACAATATTTATCTTTACCTGGTATCCAAATTCCCAGCATCCAAATTTCAGATGTAGAAATTCCAGCTTCTGGTTGCCAAACCCCCCTCTTACTACGCTCAGGTACGCCTTCACCCTTTTCTGTCACTAAAACCTATTCACCTATCACCTATGCCTCCACCCTTTTCTCTCATTAAAACTCCAATATTCACCTCTTCGTTTATCATTGGAAACCTTAGTTCTTCATGGTGTATGGTTTTGACACCTAGAATTTTTAGGCTTGAGGCATTTACAATTACCTATCTTTTATAGTAGTGCTCTGAATTTCTTGAAAATTTGTTAGAAGCCTGGGATTTGTTGATGGAAATTGCAATTATTTTTCTTTACATTTCCGTTTTTTGATAATGTGATGCATGGGTTTGCTTTTGACAAATTTACAAGGAACCTATGGATGCTTTTAGAGTTATCTGATCTTTTTAAAGCATTGATTAATTTTTTAATTTTTCAACTTTTTTTTGGAAATTTATCAGGAGGCATGGAACTTGCAAATTGCCATTATTTTCCCTTGTTAAGCTTTATTTATTTTAATCCCTGTGATATGGTGCATGGAATATTCTTTAACAGCTAAAGTTTAAAAAATGGGGTTAATTATGATACCCCAAAACCAAGTATACGTCCTAATTTTGAGATTGTTGTGCTTGAGTGTGCTGGAAAAAAAGAGCACAAAAGAAAAATGCTTCGGATGAGCAAAAGAAAGCATGGGGCTTGATTCCAAGAAGATCAAAAGGGAAGATGGGGATTTCTGTGTACCAGTATACCAGTGTTTGAAAGCTCGGCGAGTCCGAATCGAACTTGCCTGAGTTGCTTGGGCTTGGTGAGCTGCCGATTCTATAGAAAAACCTTGGGAACAGGCTGGGTCTTGCTGGCTCCCAAGGTTTTACTGTTAATTTGTTTTCTAAGACTCGGCCATGTGTTCTAAATAGTTGGATAGGTTGAGTTACCTGTCTCGGGCTCGGGACCTCCCCTAGTGGCCTTGTCCTTGCTTTAAACCATTGCATAGGAATATATGCACAATTGCACATAGAGTTGTACCCCTCTCTCTCTCTCTCTCTCTCCATTCCCTTTAAAATCCTTACAAAGAAAAAGAAATAAAGAAAGCTCCTAAGTATTGGCTGGCTGGCTGGTTGCTTTCCTGCGCTAGAGATCAATAGTTAAGTTTGAGTATTTGTGAGTATTTCCATATATTTTTTCTGTTTCTATTTCATTTATTGCATCATCATCTAATTGCTAGCTCAATATTTCTCCAGTCGGAGAGTAGCTGACTTCAACTTTTGCTTCTCGTTACATAATTACATCATATAATGTGTCTGTCTGATTTATACATACCTTTTTCCTCACTTTGATGCATAGAAGGGCATAGCTCCAGGGTGGTTTCTCTGTTTTGCCAATTTTGTTGGTCTACTTCTTATTTCCATATATACAAGTGTTTGCAATTCTTAGGACATGGGAGAGTTGTCAGTTGAAAAAAAAAATACTGGTTCTTTTGCTTTTGATAATTCTATTTTGTTTGTTTGTGCATATGCCATTTGTGCTTTTACGATCACAAAAACAAGGGAAAATGTCGTATAGAACCCTAATTCCTCATATTATTTTATGGTAGACTCTCCTTCCGTTTTTCTTTCAAGCAGCATAAGAAAACCCCTAAAGATTTCACCATGCCCCCTCATCTTTTATCTCCTTTTTTTATTGACTTTTGATCATAAAAATTAGCCCCAACAAATCTTTTTATACGATTTCAACCAAAAAACATTTTTAATGGGCGGAAAGGGAAAAAGAGGGTTAAAAAAGTTTTTGGGATGAAATGGTATAAAAA